GCGCTTGTGTACAGAGATTTTAGAACCTATTTAGTTCCTAAAATGTCTGTTTGCAACACATAACAATAAAAATGCACATCAAATTGCTAAGAATGATGAAGGAAATCGATTCAGACATGCCTGTTTAACTGGCCGTGCGTGCTCTAAACAAACACATGTTAATTAAGGAGCTATTCAAGTATTATGTAACCACCAGGGGAAAGCGGGGGTCTTGGTTTGGCAACGGGCAACATTTCTTCAAATAAGTAAAACATTAATTACACATGCACAAATTTTGCCTGCAATTTCCATCACAATTGAACACTGCACTTCACTCTCGTTTCGAATTTTTGAAAGCGTTTTTTAAGCTATTTAGTGGTTTAACACTTCTTGTGGGCACTTGATATTGTAAAAAAAATATGCGCAATTCGATCACTAACTACATTTTTTTGTAAAGAACGCCCGTTTGCTTTAAATTTGTAAAAATACAATTATTTTTTTATTTTGTTTACATCTGTCATTTGTTACAAATGAAGAAAAGTCCAAGAGTTGCCAAGTATAAATATCTCTATATCTATTTATTAAAATAATAATTTACAATAATAATTTATTTAATTAATACTTTATTAAAATACAAATTTGAAGTGCAAATACATTTGTAAAACTGTTTATCACGAAATGTTATTAATTGTTTGCAAGCATACTATAGTTTTCATGCATTTTGGGAATAAATAATCTAATATGTGTACATATATATCGTCGTTTAAAGTACAAAACCGCGTATCGTCATTCTGCAAAATTCTGATTGACATTCTTCTTCTTCTTATTTGGCGCTGTAACCGCCTAAGCGATTTTGGCCGAGTCCAAAACAGCACGCCAGTCATTTCTCTTCTGTGCTAACTGACGCCAATTGAAAATGCCAAGTGAAGCCAAGTCATTCTCCACCTGGTCTTTCCAACGCAGAGGAGGCCTTCCTCTTCCTCTGTTCCCAGCATCGCGGCCCGCGTTGAATATTTTCAGAGCAGGAGCGTTTCTGTCCATCCGAACGACATGGCCAAGCCAGCGGAGCCGCTGACATTGGCTGCCAAAAATTGGATTTGCTCACAAAAGCTCTTGGCTCAATTCTTATCCATTCGTCCTGAAATATACTAGCCAGAAATACGTTTGCTTTATAAAAAAGATAACCATTTTGAAATATGGGTGACTTTACTCTCTAGAAAATAATTTATGCAATTACGCGGTTTTGCATTTTCTTGATACGCGGTTTTGTACTTTAAACGACGATATGTATAGCATGTACTTACGGCGGCCGCCGTACCAGAGTGATTACATGTGCGTACTTCCACTCCATAGGACCATGGTTAAATACCTGGTCAGATCATAACACAAAATAGCAGTTCATACCTTCGAGTATATTTCTGCCTTGAAAACTCTTCTTATAAAATCAGAACTCATGCCTCAAGTTTGAGCAGAAGTTCGGCCAAACACTTAGAAAAATATTTTAGCACCAAATATTTATTTGTTTACTTATTTTAAGGGAGATGGCAATCTTCTGGTTTCACATTTTGGGTACAAAAATTTCAACCCTGATACAACAAATAGTATTAGTACTGAATGATAATGACAGATTGCATTCCCATAAACGTCCAATCATACATGATTGAGTTTTTTTTTTTGCATTCACATTCTCTATGTGAATGGGTATCAACCATTCCATAACACACTACATATTTTGTGTTTGCAATTTGTAACCAATCTCAAGAGTGGTTGTTAAATTTTTTAAATCAAACAATCACATTTTTTAAACGAAAAAAATGAGAATGCACACTCAATTGATTCAATCATTACACAGCTCTGGTACATACATAGGTATTTGTATATGTATTTATATACAGAGTTTATGTTAAAACTTATTTTAATCTCACGAAATATTTTGGAAGGAACACCGCTGCGGCCAAAGGATGCGCGCACGGCCGCTGAATTAAGTTTAAGAGGCGGCTTAAACACCCATATACCTATAAGTTTCTATTTTTACAAATTCAGCGACCAAAATCTATTAGAAATGGTGTTATATAAAATTGAGAAAAATTTTTTCAAATCCGGAAAGCCCTGAAATACTGGTTCGATTTCACTGAACTTTATTTTAAGAGAATATATTTATTAAGAAGGACGTAGCGGGGATTTTCTTCAAAAAATTTTTGCTATGAACGTCTTAAATTTAAATGTCAAGTTTTATTCCCAACACTTAGCAAATAAAGAAATGTTTCACTGTTTGCTTAACAATTTATAACAAAAATTTGCTCCAGCTTTTGTTGAGAGGTAAATAAAAGCTCTGTATACATTTTTAGCGCATAATTTCAAAAATTCTAAATTTTGAGTGTGTGGTTTGTTTTGCTTTCGTTGATTTCATCACAGATTTGCAGATGCATTTGGTCCTAGAATAGAAAATCAGGTTGGAAAACTATGTTAGAATTCGATTAGAGAATGATTAGAAAAACACCAGACATCTGAAATCAATTAGAATTCAACGTTAGAACACAATTAGATATCAAACCCTTTTCTCGATATCGAGAACTAATTCCCCTTTTTGTGGAGAGTTCTATGATTTTCGACAGTTTCTCTTCCCCTCTTCTAACCTTCTATTTAGAGAAACTTATATATATATATATTTAGAATCGATTTCCAATCGTTCTCTAACCTTAATGTTTGTTGTGATGCCACTTTCAAAATAAACGGCTCAATTATACTTGGCAGCCCAGGAAACGCTTCCACTCCCTGTATTAGCGTGGCGGAATAGAGGCCTCTAATGCCTCATACGCTTGCAGGAAAACACTCGGCATGCATGACCCCCCATGACTTAAGCATTTGGTTCTACACTTTGGGAAAATAATGCTCTATGCTGTCTCAGGAAAAATTAAGGTGGTCTGGAAAATTGAGTTTACGGGTCTAAATTTTAATGCGATTTTGAATTTTTTTTTGATAAAAGCTGATGAAATTCCTTGAGAAGTAATAGCAGCTGTATTTTATCCGTGGTTTGGATTTGAATAGCCATGTAAACTCCGGGACTATAACAGCATTTCCCAGGCCGATATCTAATATACAACTAAAGCAGCTGCGTCGGCAGAGCATCTGATTCCGCAAAACTCACGAGTAAAGATTTTCATTAACAGCAAAGCTATCACTGGGCTGTAATGACATAGGAATAAGATAGATGGACACTAGGGACACGAATTTCGATACGATACGATACCATATCGATACTTTTGGCATTCGATACCGATATTTTCTACTCGATAGTTTTAAAACGATCTTTTTTGGAATCGATTACCAGAACCCTAGTATCGTATCGAATGGCATAAACTCACATTACAAGGATAATGTTATTAACAATTCTTCCCGATATAAATTGGACTTTAAAGAGCAGAAATTTGTAATATAGTTAGGATTGCATGTGGTGGAATTTGAACCCGCGGCCTCGGTGTTTTAAGTCAACACCTCAATCTCTACGTGTTGTTACACAATAGTTGCGTTCGATAACAAAATTAGCCAACACCAGCCAACAATCAAAATCAAGAGCGTAAGCGAAAATTCTCTCCTAAAGAGAAGAAAAAGCAAAAAAGTAAACGAACAAGAAATTAGCCATCACTTGCAAAAACCGGAAAAAGAAGACACACCAGCTGACTTTGTTTATGTTTTATTTGTAAACAAACTGAAATTCATGTTGCCTCCATGGAAGAAAAAAGGAAAGTGAATGTTCAATGATCGCCAGGAACATCTCTAGAAGTAAAAACTAGTTGGCACTATCATAAAATCACATAGCATGCAGCCAAAAAGCATATAAATACCAAAACTCGAAAAATGCAATTTTGTTTGTTTACAAAAATTGCAACCATATGTTTTGTGATCATATGTTTTCGTGTTGGATAATTTTTGCTGACTAAAATTTTGCCAGTACAAAATTAACGCTTCTCTAGTGAAGATACTTGAGGCCTTACTTTACTATACACGAACTTTACTTGCAATCTAACAACAACCAAAGTACTACCTCAGCCCTTAACGGCTTAAATAGTCAGCCCTAACCGCACGAGCGAAATAATTGTTCTGGCATGGCTAGACTTGTGAAAAGCTTTTGATATCCGTTATCATTCCACACTGGAAAGGACTTAGAGGTATCCTCCCCCCACAGGAATTAAAACGTTGGACCTAAGTTCACGATTCCTAGATATCGCAGAACTTTTTCGCTTATTCACTGCATGAATCCTTACCACCTATCCTGCCAATCAACGGCGGCCTTCTTTCCATTTGGAGGGAGGAGCTTAAGCTGAAAGAAGGCATTTACGTAGATAACTCTCCAACTCCGACGGTGAGTAACCAGTAAAATTTTGTTAAGGGTTACCTTCCTCTCTTTTTCCTAGCAGTCAGCAGCCAAAGTACAAAGCTGCAGAAGAAAAATTGGGCGTGAAACAGTTTGCTGAACCCGAGGATGTACCGAAATGCCAAAAAAGACATCCATAGAGTGTATTAGACCTTCGAATACTCTTGCCATATGAATGTTGCAGTAGGAATTCAATCACCACCCATCGCAGACGAGCGTTCCCACGACGCAGATTAATATATGGCTAAGGACTGTCATTCCAGCATTATTCCCCAAAAACTCTGACTGAACTTATACCCAACCAGTCTCGACTCTGAGATGCCAAATATTATGTTCAGCTTATGAAGACTCCGCCCACACCAGCCAGCTTTTCAACTGCCCACTCCCACTCAGCTAAAACCACCCCAAATTGTTTGGTCCGTCGAAATAGTACATTATCTGGGCCAAAAGTTACTTGAACTGTATGAGAACGATTGGTAAACTAGACGATTAAAACAGGGCCTATTAGTGCTCTCTTGGGGAAATTTGCATGCGGTACAACAAAATGAACAACCACGATACACTAGCCGAATGAAATAGGGCCAGTACAATAACAACTGATCGTATATAAATTTTTAAAGTTCGATTTTTACTGCGTCGTATTAAATTTTTTTAAATCTAATGTTTGAAATTAAAAAGTAGATAAATGTTAACAACAAAGAGAAGACCATAAAACAACAACAAGAACACTAAAAAAATCCAGTCACTAATCGTTCATTGGAGCTGCATTATCTTCGTTACCATTGGCAACAATTGGAGGCGGAACTGGCGGGGATTTCACTAACATTTCCGTTTGGTTTGTGGCCATTACTGCTTGCCGTCCGCATAAATTCAACCCTGACATGTTATTTGGTGAAGGCATATTTTGAGTTGGCGAATTTGGAGCACCTAATAAAAATAATGATTCAATTAAAAAAAGAGCAAAATATAACACAGTGCAAGGTTAGTTTCATGAGCTATAAAGCAAGTGTATTGCTGTGGCAATGCTGTGCATGTGCATAGAACAGCTGATTTTGTTTACGTTTTCTAACCAAAACCACACGGAAACATGGCACTAATTTACTTACAAGCAATTGGAGCAGCTCCACCTCCATTTGTGGCAGCACGAGCTGGACGAGTGTTGTGGAACATCGCTGCTACAGCTGCAGCCTGCTGTTGTGTTTGGTGATAGATTTGCTGCTGCAACATCAGTGCGTATACCAAACGCTCATAAATACCTGTAGTTGTACCAACAGTAGCGCCTTGCGCGGTGGCGCCTCTTAAATATTGAGTCTCTTTGAAAAATGTATTTAAATATTGTTGTGTTGTTGTGGTCAACATCGGATTGGAGTATAAAATGGTAGGCGAGGAGGCAAGTGCTGCATTTGCTAAGCTATTTGAAATAAAGTTTGTTGTAGTGGATGAATGTTGATTGTAGACAAGTGGCGGTGCAGCAGGAGCTGCCGCAACATAAGTGACTTTGTTGCCGAGGAACATGCCATATGCAGTACTTCCAGTAGCTGGTCGTACGGAAGCAGCTTGCAAACCATTACACATTTGATAATAAGCAGCTGCAGCGGCTGAATTAGCGGCCGTAGATTGCTTCTGAAATGAATGCACAATTTACATATAGCGTTGATCAAAATCTACATCTTTTAAACTGAAATTGCTTACACTAAAATTTGCAAAACCTATGCCAGTTGTTGACTCCGGCACTTGTGGTGTTGGATATAAGCCATTACCGTAGCCAGTATTTGCACCTTTGTCGTTAAGTAGTGGCGTTAGATTTTCAGGAAAATCGAGAAAATCTTTGCCGTAGATGGCATAGTTTTGTGCAGCTTGAAAATACTCAGCACTTCCATTCGGTGGATGACCAGTGGTGTCTCCATAAATAGCGCGATTCACCTCCTGCACGTATGTGTTACTGCTACTGCGACGACAATTTGATTCCAATTTTGAATTCCAATCATTTTCCACATCTGTCTGCTCACATGTCCCAGCGGCTGTGAAAGTTTGGTGCCAAATAGGATCCGTGAGCTTTTTGGATGTGGGTGCTGCTGGGGAATATGATAGGTAATAATTGTTAGAAATGAATAGTTGTGAACAGGATTGGCTTACTGATTTCTTTTGTATTCCAAATTGGAAAGTCATTTTTAATTTTTGTCAATTCTTTGGCAATTGAATTTTTTAATTTTCTTTCTTTAGCACTCTCGTACGATTCTTCTGGACTATTCTGCTCCTCGTCCATGTTGTTGCTGCTGTCGTCTTCGTCCTCACTCGTTGCTGAAAAATTTAACCTAACTTGAAATTTTTTAAATTGTATTTTCTACAGAATACTACGCTGGACAAAGAAATACGTAATCCGTTGTATTTGAAAGCCGCGTTCATTTGCTAATATTGAATTATGTAATTACAGTCTAGAAATCCCAGCATGTCTGCGATGAGTTTTTCCGTCTGTTGGGTCTGCTGCGCTTCCATGCCCTTGAGCAATGTTATTTTGTGCACGCTTATGCAGTGTCCGCGCACGCACCAAACAAAAAACCAGATGAACACCAGCAATAAGAACGTGTCTGTAACGGTTGCTTTCTTGGCACAGCTGTCCGTTGGAATTCAAACTCTCACTAGCTTTGATTGCAATTTTTATCTTTATTTCTCCGTTTGTCTTTTTCTACAAATTTTCCGGTTGCGTTGCTTTTGTTTTTGTCTTCAATCGAGTTTTGTTAAAATTTAGAATTTTGTTATCTTTTTCAGTAGCTTGTTACGATTTGGCCAACTTTAACAATTTACTTCAGGTCAAGTGTATTTTGAGGTTAATCGCAATGCAATTACCTACAGCAGTCAAGGCATACTGCAAATTTGGTTTGCTATCGCCAAGTGCGTACTGTTATTACCGATTTGTAGCATACATTTAGGCGCGGTGTTGATATATAAACGCACGTACAAGGGAAAACATTCAAATAGATTTGTATATACAATTGTTTATTCATTTTTTAAATAGTTTTAACCACTATTACAAGTTGTTTTCACCGAAGGGAAAATTTTAGTAGACGGACGGCAAATTCTAGAAAAAGGGGGGATGAGGGGGGGTAGAATAGGACCCCCTGATTTCAAAACTACCCCCCTTTTTTCTAGCAACCCTATAGTTATTATATAATTTATTGTTAAAGTTTTCATATAAACGATGAATAAGATAGCAAAATAACATACAACTTAGTGCTACCAGACTGGAATTTTGAATAATAAAAGCGGATTTTTAATTCGGAATTTTTACTTAGTAGAATTATTATTTCTGTGTTGCCGAAGAAGGGGGGCGCTGAACACATTTTGCAGAGAACACCTTTCTGCGTAGGCGGCCTTCGGCCGCACATAGGGATTATAACTCTCAGGCAGTAGAATTCTCCTTTCTGTTTTGCGAAGAAAAGGAGCTGAACACCTTTTGCAGAGAACACCTTTCTGCGTAGGCGGCCTTCGGCCGCACTTAGGGATTATAACCCTCAGGCAGTAGAATTCTCCTTTCTGTTTTGCGAAGAAAAGGAGCTGAACACCTTTTGCAGAGAACACCTTTCTGCGTAGGCGGCCTTCGGCCGAACTTAGGGATTATAACCCTCAGGCAGTAGAATTCTCCTTTCTGTTTTGCGAAGAAAAGGAGCTGAACACCTTTTGCAGAGAACACCTTTCTGCGTAGGCGGCCTTCGGCCGCACTTAGGGATTATAACCCTCAGGCAATAGAATTCTCCTTTCTGTTTTGCGAAGAAAAGGAGCTGAACATTTTCTTTTGTATTGATTTCCCCTGTATTCCTTTTTAATCATTGCCTTCTTTGTATGTATTGTTTTGTACAATATGGCAACACATGTTATGTGTCAGTCTGCAACCATGTGTTATTAGGTTTGTTCGTCGAGCAAAAAATTTGTACGAATTATCACGATTTTTGCCCAAATCGCGTTCGTGCAGACCAAAAAATTATCCAACACTCAAAAATTGTGAGAGCAAAGTGACAGTTCTCTTGGAGAGAAGTTGCAAATTCTTGCTGGAAAAAATTTTGCCAGCAAGAATTTGCAAACACGAAAAACATGTGGTTGTGGCGCATGGTTGCATTTTTGTCTACAATAATTTGAATAAATTAGTTCGTTAAATTTAAAAATTTATAAACACGAGCTATTTTTTTATGAAAAAAAGGAAGTAAATAATTGTTGATATAATTAATTTAGTTAATTCCAATGATTTGAACTTAATTCGGCTGAAAAAAATGGTATTCGCAATCGGAATGCAATTGCAACCAGACTCGATTTAAGAAACCCGACAGCTAGTACGATGAAGAAATTGAAATGTATGTTAAAGAAAGTCAGAACAACAAGAAATATACATGTATATCCCGTTTTTGGACATCCGAAAGAATTTTAAAAATTCTATAAAAATTGTTTATGTTTGAAATGCAACCGTGGACGCCAGCTGGCAGCGAAACTTGCAAATTCCTGCAAATTTGCGTTCGTGCAGAAATTTGCAAGGTTCTCAACATGAGAGAGAATTTGAGAGAATTTTTTCTTACTCTCTGATATTTTGAGTGTTGGATAATTCTTGCTGGATTTTCGACGAACAAACCTATTGTAAATACATATGTGTGAAATTCAATGTAATTTACAAGTCGATAAAAGTTTAATTAAAGTGATTTATATACAAGATAAAATAAAAGAAAAGTGTGTAAAGTATTAAGTACAGTGTTACGTGCATTTATATATATAAAAGTATGCACAAATGCTTTTTTGTTAAGGAAACCAAGTGGAACGACTTAAGAAATTTTAACAACAAATAACTTATAAACAATGATATTATTTATATTTTTTAGTAATACATGTTTTAGAGGATACCTCCCTTAACATCCTGACCAAGTTTCATTTGTTAATTCCACCTGGTTTTCTTAAAACACAAGGTGCGGCTGACTACTAAAGCCCACCCAAACCCTGCGCCAGTACCCGCAATTCTACAAGGTCCTGGCAACTGTATGCGCGTAGGAGCACACCTAAGGAGTTATTTTAAAATGCGTCAGTGCATACATATGTAATCTCTTTTCAACAGTAATGTACTTACAAATTATCTGTGGCATCGTTGCCGCAATTACCATGCTCGTTCCAACCCCAAGTATAAACTTCACCATCAGTGCTGCGTATAAGACCTTGCTCCGAGCCAAAGTGTACATGTGCTGGCACGATTGAACTACGCAAATCTAGTTCCTGTGGCGTCGCCTGATTTTGTGTTACACTAACCATGCCTAATTGGCCATAAAAATTGCGTCCCCAAGTTAGAATACGATTGTCCCTCAACATCACTGCATTATGTGTCCATCCGGTGACTATTTGTTTGATCTCCTCTTCGAATTGAAATGCATTCGCTTGACCAAATTTATTATCACCCAAAGCAATAACACGCTTTGCGCTATCACAATATTGCAAATCAACAACTTTGATTAATATATGATTCTGACCACTTGATATGCCAGTGATGCGCACTTCGGTGGGCTCGTTTGCATGAATTTTTATAACCGGCGCACAATTAAGCGTTGTCGCTGTTATGCACAAATCCGAAGGTGGCTCATCACTTATACGCAGCCGACCGAAAATATACACCTTATGATCTTACAGGTAGCGGTCGGCGTACAGCATTAAATTCACGTTGACAAAGTCCCAACTGCTGAAAGCAATTAGAGCCCCAGACGTAAAGCTTTTTCGTAACCGTTATGCAGCCAGATATATCCCAACCGCAAGCAATACTCGCTACTGGTACATCCTAAAACATAATCAGGTAAAATGTACTGACATATCTGTATCATAAGACGAATGAGGAAATCAATTGTAAATACCCCAAAATATTCTCCAGGTATAATTTGGAAAGTATTGAAGCATTCCTCGCGCGAGTCCAAGCCCAACTGATCGCGACTTTCCACCCGCACGCGTGTATCTTTCCATTTGTATCGAGTACAAGCACATGACCGCCACCGCCGCGTAACGGCGCACGCTAGTTGGATTAAATGAATAATCTCGCACCATACACAGCTCCGATTCATAGCCAAGGCTAAGCTGTCCATGCGAGTCCCTGGTATGTAAATGATTAAAAAAATAAACACTTATTTATTACTCCCAACAATTGAGTGCCAACTGATTTGCAATTCAAATTCACTGCTTACCCAGGCGTACACCGACAGTATGGTACTATAATGTGATATCGTTGCAGCCACCAGTTGCTACTTCCGGCGCACGAAAATCTCAGGTAATTTACTCGATAGCGCGCAAAGTCGTTCGTCGCAGGCGTACTGACTGTGTCCTATTTGCTTCCTTGCCAGTTGCCGACTGCTGTCGTGTATTTGCTTTCGCCTACCATTTAGCTTATTTCTTTTTGAATTTGCGTTTCTTGTGCACTCGAATTGGTTTTTGGCTGATTGCATGTTTTAGCCAAATTAAATTCACTTTCTTTAACGAGGTGCATGGTTGTTTTTTTATGATGTGCTTCGAGAAATGAGTAGGCAAACAGCTGACCGCGAATGGTTTATGTTGTTTTGATTGAACACAGGGTGATATGGAGGAACACGTTTGTCATTCAATTATTTGCGATGTTTTTTACAGCCCGATTCTGAACAGAAACTCCCCAGGAATTTTTTTTCTTTTCTCTTTCCTCCTATCATGAATAAAACTTCCCTGAGGATTTTT